CCCCAAAACCCCACAACCCGAAAACCCCAAAACCCCAAAACCCCAAAACCCCATTTTCTACAGACATATGAGATTGTAAATAAGTATAATTGCGAGAGAATGTAAATGAATGATTTAAATAAGAGATATAGAGATCTCTGTGAGGTAATCATTTACCGAGCTTGGCCAAGGTGGCGACGACTGCGTTGAGGGCATCTGATGAGTGAACGAATGGTGGGTTGTATCTTGATCCCCAGGAGAATTAGGTGCAGAGTCTAGTGTATATTCCATCCTCGACGTAGTCCTCTGGAGCGATATTTCCCATCTCAACATTGATGGAATGAAGAGTATCGAGAGTTGGGGTAAGGGCTAACATCTCAAGGTTTGATAACTCATTAACATCTCCAACGTTTCTAATGGTCTCAAGAGTATCGAGGTGCTCAACGAAGTGGACAAGATAGAGCATGAAGTTGTACTCACTAGCGATTTCTAAAGCCTTCATCTTCTCGTTTCTGTTGCCGATTTGACCGACTGCAGCTTCAACATTATATTCAGCCTTCATGAAATTGTCATACTTAGCTCTAATTTTCTCAACAACACCGCTAGTGTGAAGGTTGCTTGCCCATTCATTCCAGTGGATTTACTATAAGATTTAATAAAATTAGAGAATATATTTACTGAGAGGCCTTAGTTGTGGGATGGCTTGTTGAAGTGCTCAATGATTGTTGATAATTGACCGAGTTGATCTCTAGCGATGTTGGTGGAGGCAGTCAATCTGAGTCTATTCAACCATTTATTAGTCAAATCATTGTCTATAATATTTATTAGAAATCGAATGCAAAATCGTACTCTGCTGGGTATAGTTGGCAATAGCAGCTTGGCCTGGGTGAGCTCTAGTGGCCATGGTAGCAGATCTGTTTTGGAGGAAAGCCTTTCCAAGCTTTTGTCTTAGACTCACTGACATATTTTTTCTAATATTATTTATATATCACAATAACTTATTTATTAATATCTTAATTTAAAACTTTTAATATCATCGATCATCCTAGAGACAATAACCTTCTAGTGGTTGAGAATTAGAATAAATGTGGCCTCACATACCAGAGCTATATATTACGTTAATAAAAAGAGACTTACTAGGCTGGTCCACCTCCTCCTTCAGGAACATTCCAATCTATGAATTCCTGAGGTGTTTTTATAGCACAACATTTACAATGCAGGCAGTTTTAGGCGTTAATTTAAAGTTTAGGCTGATTATTCTCGTCTGGAATATACTCGTAAACTTTAGCTGGACAGAATCTTGATTCAGGTGCTCCAAATTTATTATAGGAAACCTCTAAAGGCACATTCTCCATTCCTTTCTTTATCTATTTATAATAGTTTAACATATAATGATTACTCTCAGATGAGATGGTTGGTCATGATCGTGATTAGTTCCACTTCTCGTTAAATTTGTTAACAAATCAAATGTAAGCTTTCCGTCCTTCTTTGGATATTCAATTGGCTTAAACTAATCCTTCGGCTTTGTCTTTTGACTATCTGATTTAGTGTGAGTTAAAGTCCACGGTTCTTTTCCTTTAGTCATGGTAATTAATCTGCCATGCAAGAGTCCTGCCCAGAGACCATAGTCAAATCCTCCCTTGAAATTCCTTGATTCTCTAAGCTCTTTCATAATCCATGAAGATCTGATGTTCTTTTCATACTGTGTAAGCTCCACATTTTCTAAGTGCTCTCCAGTTTGGATTCTCTCAAAAATGCTTTCAGCAGCAATCATACCTGATTTGATCGCGTTATGAGATCCCTTAATTTTAGCAACATTCAAGAATCCAGCTGAATCTCCAGAAAGCATTCCACCTGGGAATGAGAGTTTGGGGATGGCATGATACCCTCCTTCATTTAAGACTCTCGCTCCGTATGACAAGCACTCTCCACCTTCTAAGATCTTGCTAATCTCCTTGTGTGTTTTGTATTTTTAGAATTCTTCATAGGGATTAAGGTATGGATTCTCGTAGTCAAGCCCTACAACTAGCCCTACATGCACAAGATTTGGTTTCATGTGATAAAGGAAACTTCCTCCATATACATTAGATTTCAGAGGCCAGTTAATAGTATGCTAAACTCTTCCAGCCTTGAAATGTGGATTGTTTTCATCGATTCTCCATACTTCTTTCAAACCAATTCCGTAGTGCTACATCCCTGTCGCATGTTTATCTAACTAAAATTGTTTCTTCACTCTCTCTGTTAATGACCCTCTGCATCCCTCAGCAAATATAGTTTGCTTTGCATTAATCTAAATCCCAGGAGAATAATTATCTTTAAATGAGCCATCCTTTGCTATACCGAAATCACCTGTAATAATACCTCCTACACTGCCATCGCTATTATAATGAATTTAATCTCCAGCTATTCCTGGTAAAACATCGACTCCTAATCCTTCAGCCTTTTCTCCCATCCATTCGCAGAGATTGCCTAAACTAATGATGTAGTTTCCTGTATTATGAACCGATGAAGGTAATAGAGCGTAGGGAATGTTAAAGTGACTTTTTTCGAACAATATGGTAAATTTATCCTCAATTACTGGAGTAGTTAATGGAGCCTAGATTTCATCATAAACATCATGATTGGTAATTACCTCTTCTTACTTCCACTCTGGGAGTAACTCATTCAATGCTATAGGCTAGAAAACATTTCCAGAGAGTATATGTGCACCTATTTTTGCACCCTTTTCAATTAAACAGACTGTTATGTCTTGATTCTTTTCTTGTGAAAGCTACCTGAGTTTGATGGCAGCAGCAAGACCTAAGTTCAAAGGTTAAATAAGTGAAATTACCTGCTGGCCCTCCTCCAACTATTAACACATCATAATCCATAGTTTCTCTTTCAATTTATTCACTTGAGCTAAATTATCTCAAGCCGCTAATTTATGCAAAGTGATTTTTTTATCTGAGTTGTGTCTAGCTCAGGAATGATTTCACTTAAGTTCTGAGTTTTAGACAGTTCTTTATCATACTTTTAGCTGACAAATTATTATTAATCATAAATTTACTAAAGCTCTACTTGAAATTGAATGATTTTATTATAGGGGTTTTGGGGTTTTGGGGTTTTGGGGTTTTGGGG